ATTGGTCTTTGTACTTTCTCAATGTAATATTTTAATCCTCCGTAAACTGTTGTTTCGTGCAATAAATCAAAAACAAAAAAGTGCATATTTTTCACTTTATACATTATTTAAACTGCGTTGACGAATTTCAGACAGTAGGGTCGTGTACTTCTCGTTCAGAGCAGACCCTTTAACAAGACAGACGAGTATCGTCCTTATAAATATTAAATGCACGAACACGCCTTTTGTAATGTAATACCTTTTCGTGTCGTCTGCTTCTGAAATATGGGTATTTTCATGTATAACTGGTAATATTATACGTTGTTATTAATAGTAATTGGCTGCCTCGTGACCCCCTCGTGCTCCGTTGGCCGTGCTATGTGCATGATATTGATAACGATACAACACCATAAAGTGTCATAAGTACACTGCCATTCCGCCTAATTAGCGTTCATTTAAATGCAGAACATTACGATGCATTGCAAATCGTTCTTCTGGAAACGGAGATTATTGATTTTTAGTGAGAGTTTAAAGATGTTTTTATAGGCAGGCTTGATGGTCTGTCGCTTGCCGATGTATAGCGATTAATGAGACAAGCAAGGGGTTAATCCGGATATACGAATACCGCGTCACGTGTTAATTCACCAGATGTTTTGCCATCATTTCCGGTATACGTGCACTTGCAATCAAGATCAGTACTGCAAATCAAAACGTTTTCGGCGGTAAATCATATATTAGCGCTAAATCATGATAAACTTTAGATTGAAATTCATGTTTTAAAAATTGAAGGAATAGGAAGTGTTTGATGTCAGTATATGTAAGCTATTGCAATGTCAGCGAGCCGAATGTTAACATACGGGCACGTTATTACACGTCATAATCAACAAATATGTGATGACGTCTGAACCAACATATTTGGCTAAAATATACGTTACGTATTAATAGGATTAATAGGATCGTTGAGATCAGATTGCGAGAAACACGTACTGGTATTCCGTTATGAGCATATTGGGGTAGTCAGGATAAACATACGAGTAGTCATCAGGATCAACATATGAGCGAAATTCAGGGTCAATATATGGGAAGTTGTCAGGGTCAACATACGGGAAGAAGTCCGAATCAACATACGGGTAATAGTAAGAGTCAACAGACGAGTAATAGTAAGGATCAACATACAGATAAGCCAGGATCAACATACGGGTAATAGTGAGGATAAACATACAGATAAGCCATGATCAACATACGGGTACTAGTAAGGATCAACACACAAGTAGAAGTCAGGATCAACGTACAGGTAGTAGCCAGGATCACCATACATGTAGTAGTCAGGATCACCATACAGGTAGAAGTCAGGATCACCATACAGGTAGAAGTCAGGATCAACATATAGGTAGAAGTCAGGATCACTATACAGGTAGAAATCAGGATCACCATACAGGTAGAAGTCAGGATCACCATACAGGTGTAGTCAGGATAAATATACGGGTAGAAGTCAGGATCAACATATGGATAATAGTCATGATCAGAATACGGGAAATGGTAAGGATAAACATACGGGTAATAATGAGATCATCGAAATACTGTTCGTACCGATTGTACGTCATGACATTTTCTGGTTTTAAATGTTTGGTTTGTACGTATAAATGGTATACATGTGTATACTGACACAGATGTAAACACGTGTCAATGAACACACGTGTGGATAAAAAACACAGTTATTTAGGAACACAGGTTTTGGCATGGCAGGCGGCAAATAACTTTAACTTTTTAACGATATGTTAGCTGCATTGGGCAAATGTGAAGCATCAGTTCTTAGATCTCCTCGAAATTACAGAGGGCCATCTTCTGATCATGAGCCTGTCTAGGGGGTGTAAGTAACTTCCCTCCCCACAGGTCTGTAGTGCAGTCTAATGTCTGGGCTGCCTGATGGTTCGTTTGCACATTACTCCAGTCCCTGCTAGCCAAGGATGCTACTTATCGTAACACAGACAATTCCAGTCAATGACCAATCCGTGATGCTTGGGCACACCATTCCTGATTAGTTCGGGGCCGGAGGCCCATTTCCGGGTCCTATGGACATTCTATAAGGAACGTCCCTGAAATTGTACTGCCTTTGGTCCAATCAGTGTACCGAAAATAGCTCTCAATGGCAGCGTAATTATCTCCCGTGTGTAGTGTAGTGAGAGACCGGCTAACAATGGAGATATTACGTGTCGCCCTTACGAGCATGAAGTGTACACAAAATGAGAAAAAATCTTTGTAAAGGATGTTGACTAATCAGAAATTAGAAAAAGAAAAATCTGAAAAAGGATTCGTCTGCTGATTTGACAGCAAATCTTTGACGTCACAGTTCCGGTGTAGACTGGGCTGAACTGTATGTTGGTCGCGATCTTCTTTGCATTAAGCTGAAGTATTCAATAAAAAGCGACCATGGATCATTAAGTGTAAGTTATATAGGTTATTTGATATTTTCATATAAGTATTCATAGATGTTTTATTGCATAACATTTGATTGCACCACTCTGGCAGGTGGGGGATTGAGATAAGAATACGCCTGCTGTTACCCACTGCCTGTTGTAAGAGGCGACAAATGTGGGAACCCCCTACAGAATTAGGAATCTGGTTATGTGCCCTCTACACTTGGGGACACAAAAGTGACCAGGATAAATCTGCTTCACCCATTGCAAAAGCTTGGATCTCTATATTTATCTCTACTTCCTTACTTAACGCCTGGATCACAGGGGCACGTTACAAATGTCTGAAATACACACATATGCTATACTGATATGGGTCACAACACACATAAACATACACAAGGGAAGAAGCTTCGTCAGAGCACTACCGGTACCGCCAAATTTCAAATGAAGATTTTCAACACTTATTTTCAGCGATCTGCGGCGATAGCTTCGGTTTGAATTGTAATTAAATAATCCATCATGATCAATTGTGTAATCATTCGTCTAATACATCCAATCAAGCACTTTTTCGGGGAATTTGCAGTTTTACCGCCATGATTAACTTGAACCTGACCCGGAAATGACGAGGGCTTTTCGACATGTCTTTATACCATACTGCCAAATACTACGGAAAGTCCCAAGGCCATCCGAGTAGAGTCTAGTCCCGCAGCAAATAATTTTTGGCGCAATGTTTAAAACATCATGTCTGGCATCGTGTCCTGGTATGTATTTCACATTTACATAGTCCAATATTTTTGATACGGTAACTTTTAAACGTAAAATGCAAAATACGTACCAGGAAACGATGCGAGACATGATGTTTTATACATTGCGCCAAAAATTATTTGCTGCGTGACTAGACTCTACTCGGGGGGCCTTGGGACTTTCCTTAGTATTTGGCAGTATGGTATAAAGACATGTCGAAAAGCCCTCGTCATTTCCGGGTCAGGTTCAAGTTAATCATGGCGGTAAAACTGCAAATTCCCCGAAAAAGTGCTTGATTGGATGTATTAGACGAATGATTACACAATTGATCATGATGGATTATTTAATTACAATTCAAACCGAAGCTATCGCCGCAGATCGCTGAAAAAAATAACAAAAGTAAGTGTTGAAAATCTTCATTTGAAATTTGGCGGTACCGGTAGTGCTCTGACGAAGCTTCTTCCCTTGTGTATGTTTATGTGTGTTGTGACCCATATCAGTATAGCATATGTGTGTATTTCAGACATTTGTAACGTGCCCCTGTGCCTGGATCGGCAATACGGTCTCAGTGTTTAACGTTCGTCAAAGTGGGCTCTGGCCGGGACATACCAAAGTCCTTAAAATTGATGTTGTTATTCCCTGCTAAACATTCAGTATATTTCGTAATCGCAACAACTGGTAAACCCGTTATCAGTAAAATGTGACCAGGGGGAATACTGTTGAGGGTGGCATGATATTTCAATGAGATAGCTCTCTAAATTAGGCATCAGATCTGTGCTATCGCAAGGAGGTAAAAACGTCAATGAGGGAACTCCGTTTTATCTGTCTGAAACTTCAATAAATTGAAACAAGAACTAATTCCGAGTATTTAGCGACATTGCATGCGATGATGAAGAGACGTTATTACATGTATCCGTCCACGACCTCGTTTTAGCTGCAAAAAAACGCTCAATGGTAATGTGTTATCTATTAGTACGTACACTTAACTTGTGATATTATAATGAGTCTAGTCAACAGTCCTTTACTTATTCCAACCAACGTTACATTTGTAGCGGAACTGGGCTGGGTCGAGACAAGTTATATCCTGGAGGGGGAGTATGTCAGTCTGGTAAAATATTAGCCGTTTCGGCTAGGTTTGGTTTTTGTTTGTTTGTTTTTTACGTCTTATTAACATCTTTGGTCATTTATGAACGTGCAAGGTATTGGTGGTGGAGGAAAACCGGAGTCCCGGAGAAAAACAAACGACATGCCGACGGTGCTCGGCTAAGGAGCATTTCTCTTTCGGTAGAGCGTCAGACTAGTATACCAGAGGTCCCTGGTTCGATTCATAGCGGAGGCATCTGAAAATAGTTTCTCTACATTAACGTGCTACCGCTGGTCGTAATTAGTTACTGCAAATGTATGACGTCACATCCGCTTTGAACGGATTGCATGTGGGTGCACCGTATGACGTAAAGTCCGGGTTCAAACTGGGTCACACAACAGAGCTTGTTTTTAGCATGACGCTGCACAGATTACCCAGTGAAATAACACATTGTACATTACACATACATGTGCACCGCAGCACTTTTACAAAGCTATCTGATTTCCTGATTACAAAGGCTAAACGTTTAGACAGCTGATAAACATATAAGTAATTTAATAAGGGAAGAAAACAAACAGAACCGTTTGCCAAATTAAATGCCCACTGAACAGAATAAAAAACAGATCCGAATTAAAAGAAACCCAATGCCCAGCCTGGCAGCGATAGGATTTTCACTGTGCTCGGCGTGTAAGGTCGCTAAGAAGCATTAGTCGAGAAGTAAAGTGTATAATTTCCCTATGGTAAGTTATACCTGCTCGATATTTCGATCGCCTCTACAGAAGTAGGGAGAGCTTGTTGAACGATCGCCATTAGATGGTAGTTAATGCTTTCGTGATGATTTCGTCAGTTAAAGATAAAGTGCTTTACATTGAAGTCTAATCGCCTATTCTCATTTTCTAGCATACGATGTTTTGTGTATTGATTGTGAAACTACATCGATTTAATAATGTTAGTTATGAAGGTTTTAAGTTGACCAAGCATGACTGTGCCACTCACCTGGAACCTGCAGTGGATTGTTTGAAGTTTAATTCTTCCAACGCTGTGTAAGATATTACATCAAACAAAACGCTGCTTAATAATTCAGTTCATCGCTCCACGTGTTTTCATTCATAAATAATGTGGAGGACGTCACGCCTCCTGCTCCAACATGTTCGAACGCGATAGTTATAACGGAATTATTGGAGAAATTACGACTGTGAATTGAGGGTTAACAACGTGGATGTGAGAAGGCAGACGATACGTGACGTGGATGTTCCTCATTACATTCCGAGGAAGGAAAACGTCCAACAGGGAGGGACGAAGGAAGGGAAGGACACGAAACAGAGGGAGGGGTCAAAGAGAAGGGACTTTCTTCCCGATTTTAAAACCTGCAGTGAAAAATACATCGGATCGATTTCTAATCAGGAAATACCGAAGTGTGATACGTATTAATTAGTGGCGCTATAAAGGACCTAGTACGTACGTACACGGTAGGTACATTTAGCGTGTGGTCCAAGGGAATACACATGAGTCTTAGTCTGACGATCAATTGTTAGGTAGTTGTCTTTAATGAGTCTGATTCGGAAACTGTATATAATTGAATTGACATAAGTACAAGTATTTAATACGTTTCTTATATGTTAATTTGGAGGGTGGGGAGAAATTTTGTAATGAATGCAGGTAAGTAAACAATACATGAGAAGCATACTAGATTTATTGATATAAGACAAATATTCAGTCACGCGGGGGTTGGGGTTGGCGTTGGGGTTGGGGGTCCATGTGTACACAGGGACATGTGACATGCTATATATGTCTTCAGTGTTATGGCCTGTGACATGTCCCTGTGCATGTGTATCGCATGGTGGTACTGCTGTTCTCCCCATACACAGATGTACACACATATATATATCTCTGTCTACGTGTGCGGGGAAAATTACGTAAGACATAAACACGCTCAGGTGTTTTGTCTAGAAATAAGTTAACACTCACGTTGTTGAAAAAAACCAAGAGCCATAAAATTAAGTTATTTATGGGGGGCACCTTACTTTTAAATCCCATTCGGTGATACCACTGATTCGATTAAGCGATTTCAATCATTCGGTTTGAATTGCTGATATCACCTTTTCGAATGTATGTTTTAATATGTTATCATTAAATAGAAAAGGTGATCACAGACTCCAATAGTGTTGACATTCAATGAAACCAATGGTATCACCAAATGAGATTAAAAAGTAAAGCGCTACCCTATACCTACGAGAACCATGATTTTTTCAACAGTTTTGGTACAGAAATGATTAGGATAAATAAACCTATTTCCCCACAATCTATGAACTTCTGAATACAACGGATACCGGTACTTTCATACACCCACTTCCTGTTCCGGTGTACAATTTATCTGTATTTTCCTGTTCCAGTAGACGGTTTAATACAATTTCCTGCTCCGTTCTGCGATTTAACACCGTTTCCTGTTAGACATAATATTTCTGCAAAACTGTTAAATGCTGCCGTATAGCGACGTATCACGTGATATGTCGATACAGACACCAAATAATGCATGTTTCAACAGCTGTGGCATATCTAAAGGTCTAATGACGTCTGATTATCCCGATTCTATTTCAGTGTGAAATGTGTCATATATGTTGTTCCGTTCCGTTGCCTATACCATCTCGTATTCCGGGATCTCTTCCCACCCAACTCCAGCATTGATGCACTTAGACACAGGGAGCACACACGTGACCAAGATCGCGTGCAGAAGTTTGTGAGTCAGGTTCGGGTTTTGTTTGTAAGTTTATTCAGCATTTGAGGGAATATTTAAACTAAAGTACACCTTATGTCTCTCACACTAAACAGACTTCTCGACCGCTCAACGATTGATCCACGAGCACGGGAAGCGAACCTCGCTTGGCGGTCTACTTCACACAGAAAAGCTATGTGCTCATTTTACTTTAATATGGAAAGGATGAGAAAATGTCATATTTTGTATGATGGATGCACGTGTTTTTGATTGGAAAAGTATTAAGCGAGGGGATCGTGTATATAGGATGATGAGTTTAGTACACAGCGTATTGGGTAGAGTTCTGATCAGGGAGGTCTCCCGAACTTACTCCCCAATCAACAAACGTACATGATCTATTTACCCTACTAAGCTCTCACAGGTCAACAATAATTACGTCCTTTTTTCACAGGGAGTGATGACCACCGGTCAAGCCGATAATGTTTGTCCTTAGGAAGTGGAATTAAATGTGATCTCCAGGAGGAATCCGGTACGGTGGCTGGTGTCCGGGGACTTAACCAGGACATTCCGTGTCGGATAATAAGATGAGAACCTACGGAGAAACTGTGTTACAGGAAACAACACATCACAACCTTCTCAGTGTACCCGAGGAGAGGACCGCTACCATTGTTTATGGGTAAGTATTATTGAGACCTTTGTAAGATATTAATATATTAATTACTCGCCGATAGAACCATACCTGACAGTAAAGCGCATTAATATTCCTTAAAATGTTTGTTTAAAGTAGCGTTAATTCCTCAATGTAAACATGTTTTTAATGGGAGATATAATTGTAAGTGTACATTTGATAGTTAAAAGAATGAGAGTGTAGAACTGTCAAGACCTCAGATTGGACCTGGTCTGATTAGATCATCTGTTACTCTGTTTGGTCATCACCTGCTGTAAACACAGGGGCATGGATCGCTTTACTTGTAATATAAAAAAAACCAGGGGGCTCCTATACTAATAATATATATTAGTTTAGGAGACCCCTATTTTTTTTTAATATTACAAGTAAAGCGATCCATGCCCCTGTGACCCTGGCCTACTTTTGACATCTCTGTATGTACTTGTGTGGCCCTGGCCTCATGTGAACATTTCTGACGTGTGGCCTCCGGTGAACATAGGTAGTCTTTATTTGTACGTCCTTTTTTGACCCTGATCTGTATCGAACATTTCTGTTCGTCATTGTTTGACCCTGGCCTCCTATGAACATTTCTGTACGTCCTTGTTTGACCCTGGCCTCCTATGAGCATTTCTGTACGTCCTTGTTTGACCCTGGCCTCCTGTGAACATTTCTGTACGTCCTTGTTTGGCCCTGGCCTCCTATGAACATTTCTGTACGTGCTTGACTGACCCTGGCCTCCTGCGAACATTTCTGTACGTCATTGTTTGACCCTGGCCTCCTGTGAACATTTCTGTACGTCCTTGTTTGGCCCTGGCCTCCTATGAACATTTCTGTACGTTCTTGTTTGACCCTGGCCTCCTATGAACATTTCTGTACGTCATTGTTTGACCCTGGCCTCCTGTGAACATTTCTGTACGTCATTGTTTGACCCTGGCCTCATGTGAACATTTCTGTACGTCCTTGTTTGACCCTGACCTCCTATGAACATTTCTGTACGTCCTTGTTTGACCCTGGCCTCCTGTGAACATTTCTGTACGTCATTGTTTGACCCTGGCCTCCTATGAACATTTCTGTACGTGCTTGATTGACCCTGGCCTCCTGCGAACATTTCTGTACGTCATTGTTTGACCCTGGCCTCCTCTGAACATTTCTGTTCGTCCTTGTTTGACCCTGGCCTCCTGTGAACGTTTCTGTACGTCCTTGTTTGACCCTGGCCTCTTATGAACATTTATGTACGTCCTTGTTTAAACCTGGCCTACTGTGAACATCTTTGTACGTCCTTCTTTGACCATGGCCTCCTATGAACATTTCTGTACGTCCTTGTTTGACCCTGGCCTCCTTTGAGCATTTCTGTACGTCAATGTTTTACTCTGGCCTGCTGTGAACATCTTTGTACGTCCTTGTTTGACCCTGGCCTCCTATGAATATTTATGTACGGCCTTGGTTGTGTCTGACCTCATGTGAACATTTCTGTACGTCTTTGTGTTTGCCCTGGCCTCCTGTTCGAACATCTTGTACGTAAGTATTTGGCCCTGGCCTGGGACCCTGTTTAGACCTGGTTTCCTGTGAACATTTATGTACGTCTTTGTTTGGCCCTGGCCTGGGACCCTGTTTAGACCTGGTTTCCTGTGAACATTTCTGTACGTCCTTGTTTGGCCCTGGCCTGGGACCCTGTTTGGACTTGGGTTCATGTGAACATTTCTGTACGTCCTTGTTTGGCCCTGGCCTGGTACTCGTTTTAAAACTGGCTTACTGTGAACATAACTGTCGTTCGCGTTTGGCCCTGACCTGCTTTAAACATATCCTTGCGTTTCATTAAGAGTTACCAGACGTTTTTTATTAGACCATTTTCTCAACTACATGTAAGGATGGTCTGTTGGACGTCAGTCTCGAATGGTCTCACCTCAGACTAATGTGAGCGCACAGACAATTGGTTTGTGTTGACCTCAACTTCATGTCCGACCGACAGACTGATATTATGAACTCGCTCATTTAATGATTCCTGTAATTCGTACATATAATGTTTGAAATTCACCGAACAATATCTCGCTTAAATATGACCAATATATATATGTACTATAAACATGATGTGTAGGTATATTAATGAAGTAAGGAGAGGGCTTGTATATTCTATGCCTGTTGTCAAATTCCGTATTGTACCAAAAGACAGGGACCTGGGAATTTGTTACAGCTGTATTTGGACCTAAACTAAGGTGTACAAAGCACTTTTATACGTTTTAAGGTTTTAGATCAATTTCCGGTAAAAATGCCTTCCCCAATCATCCAGATATAGCTGTAACAAAATCTCAGGTCCATGTGCCTCAGATCTGTAAAATAAAATATTCTCAAATGAAATTACGTCCTTGTTCGGTCCTGACCTACCGTGAAGAGTTTTATGCGTCCTTGTTTGGCCCTAGTTAGTTGTGATGGAATACCCCTGTTCCCTATCACAGCAGTAACTCCAATCACAATCTGCCTCTGTAACGTGATTTGTACACTGAGTCATCCCTGTCTGAGAGGTATTACAGGTGTAATTTGTTTCGTGCATGCTACACGTGTACTTCCTGGCCTTGTCACGCTATCGTCTGTCAACCAGTGGAAGGTTCGAGTCATTAGCAGCAATTGTAGAACACTAAAACACATGTAAAACACCCATAATATTATTTCATGTTTGTCAGATAGAATTACATCATGGCACAAACTGGTAATAAGCTTGTCGTCCATCATGTGATATACTGGTTGTAAGCTGGTAGTTCATTATGTCATATACTGGTAGTAAGCTTCCAGTTCATCATGTCATATACTGGTAGTAAGCTTCCAGTTCATTATGTCATATACTGAGGGAAGCTTCCAGTTCATCATGTCATATACTGGTAGTAAGCTTGTAGTTCATCATGTCATATACTGGTGGTAAGCTTGTAGTTCATCATGTCATATACTGGTAGTTAGTATGTAGTTCATCATGTCATATACTGGTGGTAAGCTTGTAGTTCATCATGTCATATACTGGTAGTTAGTATTTAGTTCATCATGTCATATACTGGTAGTTAGTATTTAGTTCATCATGTCATATACTGGTAGTTAGCATGTAGTTCATCATGTCATATACTGGTAGTAAGCTTGTAGTTCATTATATCATATAGTAAGCTTGTAGTATATCATGTTTAAGCATGGCAATGCCTGTGTCTTTACCATTCACTCTTGTTCTAGGCTAGATTTACAATGCGTGATAGGGTATGGGAAACATTCTCGTAAGATTTACTGTTGTGGTGAATGAACATGTAGAATTTTTTTTGAGTAAGTAGCGTACACGTCAGTTTTACAATGTATTTCTAATACGAATCTACCCGCCATCTAACGCGTCTCATCTTGGAGATTTGTAGATAAATCGAGAAAACACGATTGTGTATTAGTTGACTTACGATGAAAAACTTGAGTGACATGCGAGTATGTAATTGTATATACCTACCGAGTAACGTGTACTCTGGGGAGTGACGTAGCTCTACCGTGACGACATTAACTGATGTATTTAGCGTTGACACGTACTGTGCCAGTGTGAGAGAGGACCTGACAGTCTGGAGATTTAAAGAGAAGAGAGAAAGTACAGCGCCTTCTGTACGGTCCTATAATTAACCCTTTACACACGTAATACAAAGCCACAGTAAAACGACGGAGCTTCTATAGAATGCGATTACAGAGAGGAGACAAAACCTACTTTGGTGTTGCGTGTGAATGGAGCTTACACACAACACAATGTAATGCATCTTGTGTGCGTACAGCTGTAGGGGTCGGGAGGGTGAAGGGGTGGCCCGGGTATAAAGGAGCTGTGCAGCTGTAAGGGACAGGAGGGTGGGGAGGTGGTTGGGGTATTTAAGTGATGTGAAGTTAAAAGGAACGGGAGCTGAGGAGTGAAGTGATGGTTTGGGGTACTTTGTGCAAAACACAGCTGTATAGTGTTCGAAAGGGCGAAAAATACCATTCGGGGTATTTAGGAGTTATACCTGTAGGTGTCAGGACGGTTTATTAAGGAACTAAACAGCTGTAAATGTTGGGATGGTGATACATGCTGTTTTGTGTATATATAAGAGCCGCAGGTTAACCACTTATTAAAACAATTATGAATTACCTACATACATTATATTGCATTCGTACATTGTTATCTCCCCTTGCAGTGTTAGCCCTACCATATACTGTACATCAGTGATATCCAAGAAAGCAGCATTCTTAAACCAAAAACAGAAGAATAGAAATGGCATCGAGAAGAGTTTCTAGAAAATTGTACATAAAATACCAGGTGGGAATCAGCCCTATCACATTCTTCATATTGTCTTTTGTTTCAGTATAACGTCAAGACGAGGCCACGATTGAAGGCAATCGTAAGTCGGTAACAGAAAGTATATAGTGATTAAATGTCATTGTTCGACAAAGCCTGAAGATGTAAGCATTCCTCACCCTAAAAGCTGGCTTTTGAGATGGGGATGTAACAAACAAATATGAGTTATCAATTTTCGAACTTACGGAAATACGGAACGCATATGATACGGAATTTTAGGTATGAATACGAAGCAAAATCCCATTGGCTATTGAATCAAATTTGATTAAGACAATAAAGAAAATATTGCATAATATAGCTATACAGGGAAGGTATATATAGCTTCTAATTAATTTCTGAGCTGTCCGAAACAAATCTGACGATCTCATAAAATTCTATTAAACCAGCGCTGGCTGCAATTAGCTCGAGCTAAATGCGTAATATCATATTTTGGAATCTTTACGTTACAATGATTAATTTCTTTAATACTCCTTTTTGAAAGTAATGTCATAGAAATACAGTTTTTTAGGCTTGAAACAACACAAAGGAAAATCCATGCATTTTAACTTTTAAAGATATTTCTTGTTTCAACGGTTATGCCTCTATGAGCGCACACACGTCACCAATCTGTTTGATTCCCACGATCACAATGGTCTTATGTTATATGCGAGGCAAAAATATAATATCAGATAGGCAT